GACTACTGTCAAAGGTTGACTTGTCTTACCATGAGTGAGGCCACACAGCATGGGGCATTGTCCACACCCGCTCCTGGCAGATGGGCTTCACTGGCTCTTTGAGCCCCTCAAGGGCTATTAGTGGTGTCTCCTGAGTGTTGACACTTTAGGGTGTGTGTGTGCTAAGTTGCTTCAGTCGTGTTTGACTCAGTGTGACCCTATGGACTACAGCCCACCAGGCTCCTCTGTCCATGGGACTCTCCAAGCAAAAATACTGGAATGGCTTGCCATATCCTCATCCAGGGGATCTTCCAAACCCAGAGATTAAATCTGCATCACCTATGGCTCCAGCATTGCAGACAGATTTTTTTTTTTTACCCAGGGAGTCACTGGGGAAGCCCACACTTTAGGGTACAGTGCTGTTATTCTAGTCCAGCCTCCTCCATCCATACCATTGAAACTAATATGTCATGATTTTGGCTTTCCAGAAAACACAGCTTTGATCTGTATAATTCTGATTTCTCTCATACATGTAAGTAGATAGATAGATGTGTGTGTGTGTGTGTGTGTGTGCGCGCGCGCGCGCGAGTGCTCAGTTGTGTCCAACTCTTTTTTTTTTTTTCTTTAAAAAAATAATTTATTGGTTTTGGATCACAAAATACAGGGAAGACACGAGGGCGATGCCTGTGACCCCTTGGCTGAAACTTCTCTTCCAGAGACACTTTTTGGGCAGTCTCACCCCCTAACAGCTGCAGAGTATAGTATCCGACCACAGGGGAAGCGTGAACAGACTCCCTGTTAAGTCATGCGAATCCCTTCCAATTAAGTCTTCCAGCTCACTTCTGCCAATATTGCAACTGGACTGGTTGTTCCAACTGTTCATGTCTTAAAAGTCTCACGAACAAATAGGCTGCAGACCAACGATGCCTGCACGGCCCCTGGACCTGCCTACACTGACTAACACCCCTCAGCTATACCCCGTCTGCCTGTGGCACCTGCATGGCAGCCCCTGGGGGCCCCCACATCCTAGGGTGGCGATGGAGGAAGGGCAGGCCAGGCCAAGCATGAAGAATAAACAGTCAATTTTATTTGGCTCAGACTAGAAATCCGTGAGTCTTGAGGACCTCTGTGAATTTGCCAATTTTCTTCTCAATGTTCTTTTCGGCCTCCTTCCGTAGCCTCATGAACTGCTTCTTTTTCTGGTAGTGGATCTTGGCTTTCTCCTTTCTCTTCTCCTCCAGGGTGGCCGTTACTGCCTGGTACTTCCAGCCAACCTCATGAGCCAGGCGCCCTAAGTAGGCAAACTTCCGCGTAGGCTTCAGACGCACAACCTTGAGGGCAGCAGGGACCACCATTTGCTTTTTCTTATCATAGGGCGGTGGGATCCCATCGAACACCTTGAGGCGGTCCAGAGCAGCCTGGCCCCGCTTGGTGTTGTGGGGCAGCATGCCTCGCACTGTCCACCAGAAGATGCGGCTGGGGGCTCGGAAGTGGTAGGGGCCCCGGGACGGGTTGGTGTTCATCCGCTTGCGGAGAAAGGCCAGGTACTTCAACTTATTTCTGTAGAAATTGCCAGAAATGTTGATGCCCTCACAGCGCACGACCACAACCTTCCGGCCAGAAGCACCTGATTGGCCACAATGGCCGCCAGGCGACCCAGGAGATGGCCTCGGCCATCGAGCACCAGGACCTGCCCCTCCGCCGTCTTCGGCAGCCGCCTGGGAAAGCGTGTCCAACTCTTTGTGACTCTTTGAACTGTAGTCTACCAGGCTCCTCCATCCATGGAATTTTCCAGACAAGAATACTGGAGCAGGTTGCTATTTCCTACTCCTCGGTATCTGTCTGACTCAGGGACTGGACTCACAACTCTTGTGTATCTTGCTTTGGCAGGTGGATTCTTTACCACTGTGCCACCTGGGAAGGCCTCATACAACATGATGTGGCTTTTATTGCAAAGCCACTTGACAATGGGATGATAGTAAAGGTATCAATCAATTTTTTATGTTTCCTACCACATTAGTATTTAAAAATGCCACATATTCAGACTTATTCTAATTTGTAAGACTTTAGCTCTATTTAAAATACACCAGCTTTGTACATCTTACATCCTGAGGCTCATTTTTCAAGCCACTATGACGTTCATGGTTAGAGATAATATCAGGCATGCTTTAATGAATTAAAATCTTATCTCATGTTAAGTGACTCACTATGAGGGTTATAGTAATTATCTGCTTTGTCTCCTGCTCTGTGACCTGATAATCTCTGTTTCTATTTTGGACTTTCTAAAAAAAAAAAATATATATATATATATATATATATATATATATATACATCAGGTCTTAGTTGTGGCATGTAGGATCTTTGATCTTTTAGTTGCAACATGTGGAATCTAGTTCCCAGACCACGAATTGAACTCAGGCCCCCTGCACTGGGAGCAAGAAGTCTTAGCCACTGGACCACCAGGGAAGTACCTAGTTTGGACTTTCTTAAACCCTCAACTGTCAGCTCAGCTCAGCCTAAGACTCAGAACTTGTTCGATCCTAAGTGGAGACCAATTCAATAGTTTGGATCTGTCAGTGCTTCTATTCATATTCCAGTGTTTTATCCTGAGTCTTATGACTGCTTGCTTATCTTGTTCCTTTGGTACTTTACTCCAGTTTCTTAAACAGGTCCCACTGTGCCCTGCCTGATCTCCAGCTTCTCAGGATGATTGCTCTTCTCTGGTCTCTCATTTTCTACATACTGCATTCCTACCCTTAAATTCTTGACCCCTCTTGCTGCCAAATGCCTGTTGGGTCTTCTGCTGTTGTTAGCACATTCTTCTCTTCATTCTACCCTTAACTGTTCATTGGATGTAGCCACATGGAGCTCTTTGCTGATGGCTCAGCAGAAAGGGATTTGTTGGACAGATGGGCACTGAAGCCAGAATGCAGGGAGCTGGTATAGATTTTTTCTAAAGAGACTTTACTATGAAGGAGTTCAGATAAATAGCAAAGTAGCTTATTTATTATTTTTTAACATTTTTAATTAAAAAAATTTTTTTGGTCATGCCACTCAACTTTTGGGATTTTAGTTCCCTGATCAGGACCTCAGCAGTGAGAGCACGGAGTCTTAACTACTGAACTGCCAGGGAATTTCTGCACATAGAATCTTATTTAGATGGAAGAGGTTTGAGTACATTTACAGGTCAAAAGGATGGTCCAACAGTGAATATCTGCATGGTAAACAATTACCAACAGCTATGTATCAGGTTACTTTTCTACCCCACTCAAATGGTTTATCATTACCCAAGTGATTTGGATTTCTAAGTCTTTTGCTTCTTGCATGCTGATGATCCACATTTTTGCAAGGTATATAATCTAAAACTGTGACATGAAGATGGAAGATTAGAGAACAACAGGACAAAAAAGTCTGCATAAGGCAAATCAGGTGGGTAGGAATAAGATTTTGGTAGGTGTCCTGGTCACATTCCAAAAGGAGCAAGGGGAGGGCGAGTTCCTGAACCCAATTTAAGCAACTTCAATCACCTCATGTCCACATAGAAGTTGCCTACAGTAATTTTTTAATCTCTTTGTGGGATTAAGGAGCATCTCAAATATAAAGGAAACTAAACTGATACTAAGGTAAGTGATCTATTATACCTGCAAATATTGTTAAAGGCAAAAAACAGACTGTGGGATTGAGGTCTAACACAAGAGTTATATTTATATAGCACCATGCTGTACAACATGGTGGTCACTTGCCACATGTAGCAATTTTAAATCAATGCAAATGAAATAAAATGAAAAATTCAGTCCCTCAGTTGCACTAGCCACATTTCAAATGCTCAGTAGCCACATGTGGGAAAACACTACTGTATTGACGAGCAAAGCTATAGAAGAGTTACATCACCACAGAAAGATCTATTGACAGTGCTGATCTAGCAATATCTGCATCTTTGTAAAGGGTGTCCTGCTGATATAAAAGGGTAGGCATCAGGACGATCACAACTGAAGTATAATATTCCTTAGGCCATCCAGTTTCCATTTTTCGGCTTCTCTATTCACCAATTCTGAACCCCAAATTTACCAACTTTTGGAAGGATCTCTATTTGAGAGAAGGTGAGTTGGGTTACCTCTAAGTGAATCCAGACATTGGGAAGGTCTTGTTTAAGTGGGTGATAGAAACTGACAAAATATGGAGCTGGCAGAAATATGAGAGATTACTACAACTTTATACTCTGGCCTTCTTCCTCACTCTGCTCACCTAGGTTAGATGTCCCTCCTCTGTACACACCTAGACATACCTCTGTCATAACCCTATTTTATTATCTGTTCATAGAGTAATCTATGCCATTAGCTGTAAACCGGCCAAGAGCAAGGATTTCTCTTAATTCATCTCAGTAACTAACAATGCCTGGCACATAGAAGGTTCTCAAAATTAAGTTTCTCATACAAATAAATTACATGGTATAAGTTAGACTTTTACAGCCTGGTTTGTACTTCCCTGATAAAGATATGAATAGAAAACACAAAACTGCATGGTGACCTACAGCAATCTCAAGATAACCTTTGAGGCTGAGGGTAGGAGGAATGGAAGAGGCAGATTAGAACAATTCCTTATTCACCATCTTTGCCCAACCCAGATCTTTCCAAATGGAAAACCCAATATTTATGAAATATCTGATAACATGCTAATGTTTCACAAAAATGAAATTCTCTTATAAATGCTAGGAACTATTATTTTCCAACTTTACAGATTAGTAATGAACATCAAAAGGATAAGCAACTTGAACAAACACAAGGCAATGAAAAATAGCCAAGCTGGTTTTAAACTCCAGAACTATCTGACACTTCTGTATAAATGAGAAACGTCACTGAACCCTGTGGAACAGAACCAGCATTAAAAAAAAAAAATGTGTGTGTGTGGGGGGGGGACTCAGACTCAGTTTTCCTGAGTCTCTCTTATGTATATAAATTATTAAACTTTTGTTTGAATTCTCCTATTTAAAAAATAAAGGTTCATTTAAGAGACATGATCTCATCATGAAAGCACTGAATCTTTTATTTTTCCTATTTGACTTCTCAAAAAGGGTGGCATAGTTAAGAATCTTCTTTGAAGTGGCTTGATCATTGTGTTGTTTTCTTCTCTATTCTGAGACTTTTCCATCAGAACATTCACTTTAATCCGACTGCTACCGCATGGCTGGAAAAGTGGGTATGCAATAACACTTTCATACTCTTTTATCTCTTTCTTTATGCTCTTTATGCTCTCACACTTCTCAGGAACAGGAGGCTGACTCTGGTCTTTTCTCAAGATTCTTTCCTTGAGTTTTTGCTCTACAAGTTCTCTCCCTCGAATCATGCGTTCCCGGTGATCTTTAATCTGTATCTGTTCTCTCTCATTTACCTGCTTTCTTCTCTGTGTGTTCTGAATGCCATGTTCTTCCGGCACAATTCTGGGAAATTTTATTTCACTAGAGTGTGGTGTTGATTTTTTAAATGTTTTACTCTTAAACTCTCTGACCTGTCCACCTCGATGTATGTGCCTTTCTATGTGTTTCATTTCTCTCTCGGGTAGCAAATAAAACCGTTTTTGTCTCTCTATGCTTTGGGTTGTTTTTCCCTCCAATCTCTTCTTGATTTCACTGCCTTTCTCTTGTTCTTTCACCATTTCCATTATTCTTTTATTATAATAAGACTCTGCTTTGGCAAGCCAGTAGTCAAGGGAAAGCCCTTGCTCCCTACAGCGTATTTCATACTCCTCTTGATATTTTTGAATTATCAGTTGTTTTGCTTCTGATGTATGTACGCCACCTAGATTCTGTCAAGGTGAGGTGCAGAATTTTGTAATATGACCATCTTCTTACTTTGAACATATTTAAACAGGAGCCTATTCTCATTATTGACACCAAGAAAGGACCATGGTGGGGGTGGAGGTGGGGGAAGAAAGGACCATGGTCTGTCATTAACTTTGGAGTAACAGGGATTTTACTTACATCACTCCTAGGTGAGCCTGCAAGCTCTCAAAGTTGGTGTTCTTACCACCAAAATCAAAAACTAATTGTTTTGTTTTTTTAAAATAGTATTGGGAGTTTTGAAAATAATACTTTGTTTTGCAAGTAAAAATTTAGCTGGAAAATATTTGCCAGTGTGGACACATTACCGCAAAGTGTCACTTGGGTGCCAGTAGGATTTTAAACCTAACTTTCCTTCTTCTAGTCTTTTCAAACAGTATGATGTTAGGACGATTTATTTACCAATATTTTTTTCTCCAGTGGAGACTGTTGACCTCCTGCAATCCTAGGATCTTTTGATACTTTAGCCCAGGCCAATCTGTAAGATAAAAAAGCAAAGGTAAAACAGAAGGTGGGAGATGTCAGAACAAATTTGCTCTCATATCAACTGAATCAAAAGAATCCAATTATTTTGGCCAAGGCCAAGGGTATTTCCCTCAGAAAGAAAACACCTGGGAATAGGTAGGACTACAACAGGGCCATTTTCTGATGAGAAACCATGACATTCCTATGGTGACAAATAATGAAAACTCTTTTAAAAATAAGGACATATAAATAAGAGCATACAGTCATCCCTCAGTATTTGTGGACCACTCTCCCCACCAATGTCCCTTGGTTCCAGGACCTGCTTCCTCCAGATACCAAAATCCATGTGCTAATCCCTTATATAAAATGATATCATACCTGCATATAACCTTGGCACATCCTCCCATATACCTTAAATTATCTCTCAATTACTTATAATACCTACTACAATGTAAATAGTTGTAAATACAATGTAAATACTATGTAACAGTTGTCACTAAGTGGCAAGTTCAAGTTTGGCTTTTGAGAACTTTCCATAATTTTGTTTTCCCTGAGTATTTTCCATCCACAATTGAATCTGTGGATAGGGGAACCTCCAATATAGAGGGCCAAGTGTAATCCTCTCATATAAACTTAAAAGCATACTTCTCCTGTGGACTCAACATGAACCATTCTGAATCTTGCACCAGGGACTGGGCGTGGGAAGAGATGGGCTCCTTGGTGAAGTGTTGCCCAAGCCCATTTACGACATGCTGCTCAGTCTGGCTTCCTCCTTTGTCTTCTGGGATAAGTTTAGACTTCGGTGTTATCGGTTCATTCTCTTTGTACAGTTTCTTGAGCCGGGCCCTCTCTGCCTCTATCACCACATACAGCATCTCTGCCCTATAATCTTTTGTTGTGAAATTCTATTCTTTTTTGTTCACTCTCTGCTTGCCTGCCTTATTCTGCCAGTCATTCTTCAACCTAAATCCATTGAGACTATTCCCTGTTGATCCACTAGGGATGAGAATCTAGGGTCACTCTGGGTTTGTTTACAGGACAAGCTGATGGCACACAAGTAAAGACTACCAACTTTCTGTGTGTCATCTCTGGTATAATCTGAGTTTACTGTGAGGTCATATTTAAGCCACTAAGGATGCTTGGCATCTCATCTCTGTGCTTTTATTTATACCATTTATGGTTAACACAGCATGGACTTTGAAGCCTTATAGGGCTATGCCTGAATCCTAATTCCACAATTTCCCAGGTGTGTGACTCAGGGCAGGTAACTCAGTCTCTCTCTAAATCAGTTTCCTCATCTATAAAATGGAACTATAAGACAGAAATTTGCCTCTTGGAGTTATAAAGAACAAATGAGAATTAAAGATCCTGGCACAATGCTTTATATATGGTAAGTCTCAATAAATGGCAGTTGTCCATCCTCCTCAGGTCAAGACTTGAACATAAAATCTTCCCAGTCTTCTCTATGTAACAGTAATTTTTGCCTCCCTATGAACATAATATTTTTACTTCTACAACTCATTTGAAAATCAATCCTGGTTTCCACTGTGATATCTGTATCCATATACACTTTTAACTTTTTGATGCTGAAATTCAGACTCAGAGTAGGAGCTATAATTTTTTTATCTATAAATACAGAAATCTATCTATCATATTAGAAAGGATCTGATATCAAATATTGGATCTCATTAACTTCTTGGGCATTAACCTCTTGCCTGACTACATATACTTATTTTGAGATTTTAAAAATATGACCACCTTACTTTTATTTCTGTGTACACAGTACCCAGCACAGTACCTAACATTAGAGTCTGTAATTCCAAGTTCTCAAAGTTAATGATTTGTTGATTGGTGATTATCCTCACCACAGAATATGAGCATCTTCTTCTCTTACATTTCAATTTTTTATTGAAACATTTAATAAATAGTCCTCCTTGAAGTATACAGGCATATCTGTTGTATATGCCTTTCCTAAGCTCTGATTTTGTCCTGTAAGTGTACTTTCATTGCATTCTAATTATTCATTTGTATTCCTTAAGGTCAGAGACACAGTTTTTAGGTTGACAGCCACAACTTCAGCTCAAAGACTGGCATGTGTGCTTAATAAATACTAACGGAACAGACTGTTGAGCTTGTGTTGGGAAAGAGTCATGCCTTATAATGCTTAGTTACTTTGCTGCATTAGGACAGTATTCAACTCATTGTGGATCTTCACTGTGTTTTGTCAATGCAGCCATGAAATTAAAAGACACTTACTCCTTGGAAGGAAAGTTATGACCAACCTAGACCGCATATTAAAAAGCAGAGACATTACTTTGCCAACAAAGGTCCGTCTAGTCAAGGCTATGGTTTTTCCAGTAGTCATGTATGGATGTGAGAGTTGGACTATAAAGAAAGCTGAACGCCAAAGAATTGATGCTCTTGAACTGTGGTGTTGGAGAAGACTCTTGAGACTCCCTTTGACTGCAAGGAGATCCAACCAGACCATCCTAAAGGAGATCAGTCCTGGGTGTTCATTGGAAGGAAGGACTGATGTTGAAGCTGAGACTCCAATATTTTGGCCACCTGATGTGAAGAGCTGACTCATTTGAAAAGACCCTGATGTTGGGAAAGATTGAAGGCAGGAGAAGGGGACGACAGAGGATGAGATGGTTGGATGGCATCACTGACTCAATGGATATGAGTTTGGGTAAACTCTGGGAGTTGGTGTTGGACAGGGAGGCCTGGCGTGCTGCGGTTCATGGGGTCGCAGAGAGTCGGACACGACTGAGCAGCTGAACTGATACTGAAAGGGAAAGTTGGACTAATTTCAATTTCTATTTCAAAGGAGACAGACACTCAGAGAAGAGAGAATAAAAACTTGCCAACCATCATGGGCTCAGCAGATCTCTCCTTGTAAGACAAATTATTATGGGGCTTGTCACTTTCTAGTAGATTGCTCAGTTTTAACCCTCTCACTAGTTTGTGTGTTTCCATTATTGCAGAGAGTAGCGCATCAAAACCTCTCTAGGAGAGACCACAGCTGGTTGTCTTTCAAACAGGAGAAAATAGTGATGGCTCCAGACCTTTCACACGTAAGCAGCTTAGCACAGCAATGAGGTTGAGAGGGGGTGGGTGGGCTGGGAGAGAACTAAGAAACTTATCTAGAAGCTGTCGCTTCAGGACGACAAGATTCTTACACTTTAGATTTTAGGTTCCAGATGAATTAAAATAGCAAGACTTTTAAGACACTTGTCCTCATGTTTTATAAAAGATCAGGGATATGTCAACTCTCCATCTAATGGATGCAATGATGATGTAGAGCTGGCCGGATGGGAGGCAGGGGACAAGGTGGAAGGGGTCTGCAACTGAAAGCAAACCTCGACAGTCGTCGTCGCAAGGCTGCTCCCTTGACTAATGCTAACCTCCCTCATCTGACAGGCATCTACAGAGGAAGGAGTCCCAGTCTCTTCTGTTTCACTACCTCCAAAGTCTTGAGCCCCTTCCTAAGTGTCCTACTTCATCCCTGCTTCCTTTCTTTCCTAGTGACTAGGCATTCCTCCTCCGCCTTCACTCTTTCCACTTCATGCCCCATAAGAGGTCGACTCACCCCTTCCAAAGGCCCAGTTCAGTTCAGTCGCTCAGTCGTATCGGACTTTTTGCAACCCATGGACTGCAGCACGCCAGGCTTCCCTGTCCATCACCAACTCCAGCAGCTTGCTCAAACTCACGTCCATCGAGTCGGTGATGCCATCTAACCACCTCCTCCTCTGTCCTCTCCTTCTCCTCCTGCTTTTAATCTTTCCCAGCATGAGGATCTTTTCAAATGAGTCAGTTCTTCGCATCAGGTGGCCAGAGTATTGGAGTTTCAGCTTCAGCATCAGTACTTCCAGTGAATATTCAGGACTGATTTCCTTTAGGCTTACCTGGTTTGATCTCCTTGCAGTCCAAGGGACTCTCAAGAGTCTTCTCCAACACCACGGTTCAAAAGCCTCAATTCTTCGTCGCCAAGGGCCCAGCACTCGAGCCAGGCGGTGCTCTGCAGAGCGCTCTTGCTTGCATCGCGAGGTCCGAGGAGCGCTAGAACTGTAACTCCCACAATGTTTCACTTTGTTTTTGTTTTTTTTTAAACAACAACAACAACAACTCAGGAACAGAGGAAGTTGTAGTTCCTAGAACTGTGCACTGAGGGGAAAAACAACCGGAGGCTCAGCTTCAGTCACCTGTTTTCTTATCCAGCGCCACAAAACCAGCCTGAAGGTAGCGCTACAACCTTCCTTCAGAGAGGTTCCTCTCCCTCCGGGGACCAAGATTGCGATTAATTATGACGTCACAGCCAATCGACAGGCCGGACGACGGGGCGCTCTAGCCTGCCCTGCTCTCGCTACTCCGCTGCAGCGTAGAGCCGGCGTTCTAGCTCGTGGAGTTGGCTTCTTCTTCTCGCCTGTCCTAGGTAAGCCCCCAAGTCGAAGTACCGGACCCCGGCTTGAAATTCTGGATATATGGGCTTCTTGGTCTTAGAGGCACAGGCGTACGTAGGAGAAGGACTCGAGTTCTCTATGAGTAGGTCCAAGGACAGAATAGGGGAGGGGAGGGAGCGACTCTTTTTTGTTAGCAATCTCTCCTTCCCAGCCCTCGACCACCCTCCGTCATGGACCTCGCCGGCATCTGCTCCAGCTTTCAGTCGGACTTGGATTTCTGCCCAGATTGTGGTTCGGTCCTGCCTCTGCCCGGGGCTCAGGATGCGGTCGCCTGTACCCGCTGTGGCTTCTCCATCAACGTGCGAGGTAAGGGGCTTGTACGCAGCGACCCCGGCCGGGGGCCCAGCGTGAAAGGGTCAGTGGCTTGAGGACCATAATATCGCTTGGATTGAAGAGGGGGACCCTGAAGCAGAGAATCAGGCACTTTCGGCCTTGGGTCGAAACCTGAAGGGAAGAAGGGCCTTATATTTAAGGCCCCCTGTCCTAACCGAGAGGGAGTTATGGGTGTCAGCCCTCCTGACTGTCTCCACAACCAGTTCTTACTGCTTGCGCAGACTTTGAGGGAAAGATTGTGAAGACCTCAGTTGTGTTTAACAAACTGGGGACAGCCATGCCTTTGTCGATGGAGGAAGGACCTGAGTTCCAGGGACCCGTGGTGAGTGAATGACATCGAGGACTGGCCCCATCAAAGGAGGGTGGGAAAGAAATGGAGGGGCGATTGCTCAAATCTGGAGAGTTTTGTACCCAATTCCAAGAGGGGTGTGTGCTATGCTGAGTCGTGTCTGACTCTTTGCGACCTCGAGGACTGTAGCCTGCCAGGCTCCTCTGTCCATGAAATTTTCCAGGTAAGAATACTGGAGCAGATTGCCATTTCCTCCTCCAGGGGATCTTCCCGAGCCAGGGATGGAACCCGCATCTCCAGCATTGGCAAGCAGATTCTTTACCACTGCGCCTCTAAGAGGGAAGAGGGGTCTTTAAAACATCAGAGTCTAGAGGGTGTGACAGCCCGATGTCTGTGAGCGGAAAGGGGAATTATTAATCCCACCAGTTGCTTCCCAGGTTGACAGGCGCTGCTCTCGATGTGGGCACGAGGGAATGGCGTACCACACCAGGCAGATGCGATCAGCGGATGAAGGGCAGACCGTCTTCTACACCTGTACCAACTGCAAGTGCGTATCCTTTCCCTCCTATCTGCCCTTTCTCAGTCTGTTTGCGACCTAAATAAATCCAGTGATTTGCTTTTTGTACTGAATAAACAGTTGTGTTCTTTGGTCCCATCCCTCTCTTCTGTACAGTTGAAATAATAGGGAAACTTGTAGTCGTTTTTTATTTTAGAAAATTACACTTTTCTTATCCTTTTTATACTTGGTGAATTAAACCTTTTGAGATATTTAAAAGGAAAGAAGGCCAATGTTGCTTGATGATCTGGGTATTACTTACTGTTGCATCTTCCACTGTACTCAAGGTAGTTTTACTTTGGTGAGAATTAGTCATGGGTGATTTAAAGAACATGATTTTCTGAATAGTTTTGAGAACTCCCCTTTGTCTTTGGTGTTCTGTGGTTTCACTACAGTATATCTGGATGTGGCTTTCTTTTGTTTATCATGTTTAGGATTTGTTGGGCTTTCTGAAAGTAAAGATTGATTTTTTTTTTCTTTTCCATCAACCTTGGAAAATTATCTGCCATGTCTCATTGAATATTGCCTTTACCTATGTTCTCACATTTTGGAGTTCTAATTAATTAATTGCTTATTAGACTTTACCCACTACTCCATTTCTCTCACCCTTTCATAATTTTCCTTCTATTTTCTCTTTATATTGCTTCTGGGTAAATTCTTCTGGTCTTTCTTCCACTTCACTAATTCTGTCTTCAGTTCATGAGTTATTGTTACTTAAAAAAAATTTTTTTTGAGTTCTGCTTATTTTTCAAGTCTCCTCAATCATTTTTAATAATTCATGATTCTTTAATCCTAAAATTATTTTTAATTCTTACATATATTTAAATATATTAAGCATGATATTTATATTCTGTGTCTCCTAATTCTCATACCCATAGTTTTTATGGGTCTGATGCTGCCATTATTCCTACAGACTTCCTCATGGTGCTTTTTTTTGTTTTGTAATTTTTTAATATAAGCTCAGATTTTTTAGAATTTGGACTGTGGAATTCTTTGAGACCTGGAGTGAAAACTATATTCTTAGCATGTGTGTTCCTCTTCAGGTGCCTTGAAGCACTACCAAGCTGGAATGGCTTTAAATAAATTCTCAGCTTCATGTGTTTGGGCTGCAAATCCAATGTAAGGTCAGCTTTTGATTAGAAATTCTAGAAGGAAATTTTTAATTTTTTCTCCCTCTACCTAGTGAGACAGTCAAATTCCTCTTCTGCAGAGTTGGATTTTTTTTTTTTTTTCTTATTCACTTTTATACACAGGTGTAACCCTTTGGGGGTTTCAAACTTATTCAAAGTATCTCCTATCAGATATTGTAGGCTTGTCTCTGGTTCACTCACGTGGCTATCAAAACAGCAAGGGCACCAGCTTACCAGGGGCTTCAGTTTTAATGTACCTGTCTAGATTCCTGGTTTTATATAGTTTCACTCAGTGTGAAGATTGCCTTTACTTTCTTGCCTTTTCATCAATGGATTAAAAATATTTATAGTTAGAAATGCCTTTGGGGAGTATTTCTCAGCCTGGCCTATTTATTTTCTTAACATTTTTTTTTAAGTGACCAGTTTTTCATTTTTATGAGGTCCAGTTTATCTGTTCTTCTTTTATGGCTAGTGCTTTTTGTTTTCCTAAGAAATCTTGACTTAATTCATAATTTGCAAGATACATTTTTAATCCCAGCATTTTTAATTGTTTTGAATTTGTGGACGGTTTTTAGGGGAGCTAGTCCTCTATGGTCATAAATGAAAGTCCTTCCTTGATTATTTCTTTCATCTTACACTGCTAGTACCTCTTCCTTTGGTCAAATATAACAAGTCATTTCTTTCTCTATAGGTTCCAAGAGAAGGAAGATTCTTGATTTTTTTCCTGAGCGACTCAACAATCCTCTTCTTACTTGGAAGCTGAAGGATATTGGGTTCTTAGGTCCTTTGTCCATCTCCCAATTGCAGTGTTCTGCTCTCAGAGGAAAAGCAGATCGTCATGTGTGGATTATCATTGTCCCCAGAGTACTCCTACCCTAATTGAGTGTCCTTATTAAAGTTATATTTTTCTATAAGAGCCAGACATATGTATGTTATTTATAATCTATCTTGTTCCAAAAGAAATTTATATTAGCTTAGAGAGATATATTCATTCTCTCAACAAATGTATCAGTGACAAAAAAGGAATATAAATTAGTACAGCAGAAAGAAAAAGGGGGAAAAAAATAAAAAACTAGGATAAAAAAATGGAGCCAGGAATGAGGCTAATAACATAAAAAGGCAATTATAAGTATTCCCTCGTTAGCTAAATCTTATTTGGTTCCTGAGTTTAGGGAAACAAAAAGTGGGAGTTTGGATAGTGAGCTTCAACAGAAAGCTCTGAATCAGATTCATTTGATATGTAAGTTTGAACAATAAAATCTATACTCAAAGACACAAGTGGACATTCTGGAAATTTTTTTATTGCTCTTGAGATAATGTTTTATATATATATATATATATATATATATGTATACACACATTTTTTTACACTGTAACAGATTTATGTAGAGAAAAGTAGAAAGAAAAAAAAAAATCAACAGGAATCCCACTCCACAATGATTTTTTATTTTAATGGGCTTTACTCTACATGCTGAGTCATAGCTTATTTTTTTCAGTTTGAGCCAAAAACTTTAAAGGCAAACAAATATTTAGTCCAGGCACAATCAGCATATTCAAATTTCAGCCTGGGAATTAGTATTCCTGCATTCTTTGGTTTCAGTAGTGACTAGAAGATGGCACTCATGATTATCTTACAGTTGTGTGGCCCTTTCTATTTTGGGAGTTCTCATGAATTTGAGCAAGCTCCAGGAGTTGATGGACATGGAAGCCTGGCTTGCTGCTGTCCAATGGGTCACAAAGAGTTGGATACGACTGAGCGACTAAACTGAACTGATACGCTATCCATGGCAACTTAGACAGATGGGCAAGACAGTTTCCTCCACTGTATGTTTGAACATTTCTGGTAATTGACTTTACTGCCACACTCCTGAAATCTAATAAAGTTCATGTCTCTACTTTAAGACTTTCACTGACTGGATAAAGTCCAAGTTTCTTGCAAAGTTTACAGGGCCTCATAACCACATCTACCTGTCAGTCAACTGAAACTCCTTACATCCCTGCAATACGGGAATCCATTTTCTTCAGTACACACAAGTACTTTATAACCTGCTTTCTTTATCTAAAAAAGTCATTCGTCTGCTTGCCTGTTCTTTACCACTCTTTTGCTCCTTGAGAAACACACATGTATTTTTATCTTACAAGCTGGCTTATATTATAATTTATGAACTTCCAGATATTCAAGCTGGTTTTAGAAAAGGCAGGGAAACCAGAGATCAAAGAGCCAACATCCACTGGATCATCAAAAAAGCAATAGAGTTCCAGAAAAACATCTGCTTTATTGGCTATGCCAAAGCCTTTGACTGTGTGGATCACAACAAACTGTGGAAAATTCTTAAAGACATGGGACTACCAGACCACCTGACTTGCCTCCTGAGAAATCTATGCAGGTTAAGAAGCAACAGTTAGAACTGGACATGGAACAACACATGGTTCCAAATCAAGAAAGGCGTATGTATATTGTCACCCTGCTTAAAACTTATATGCAGAGTACATCATGAGAAATACTGGACTGGATGAAGCACAAGCTGGAATCAAGATTGCCGGGTGAAATATCAATAACCTCAGATATGCAGATGACACCACTCTTATGGCAGAAAGTGAAGAAGAACTAAAGAGCTTCTTGATGAAAGTGAAAGACGAGAGTGAAAAAGTTGGCTTAAAGCTCAACATTCAGAAAACTAAGATCATGGCATCCAGTCCCATCACTTCATGGCAAATAGATAGGGGAACAGTGACAGACTTTATTTTGGGGGGCTCCAAAATCACTGCAGATGGTGATTGCAGCCGTGAAATTAAAAGATGCTTGCTCCTTGGAAGAAAAGTTATGACCAACCTAGACAACTTATTAAAAAGCAGAGACATTACTTTGTCAACAAAGGTCCGTCTAGTCAAAGCCATGGCTTTTCCAATAGTCATGTATGGATGTGAGAGTTGGACTATAAAGAAAGCTGAGCACTGAAGAACTGATGCTTTTGAACTGTGGTGTTGGAGAAGACTCTTGAGAGTCCCTTGGAGAGCAAAAAGATCCAACCAGTCCATCCTGAACAAAATCAGTCCTGAATATTCATTGGTAGGACTGATGCTGAAGCTGAAACTCCAATACTTTGGCCACCTGATTCGAGGAACTGACTCATTTGAAAAGACCGTGATGCTGGGAAAGACTGAAGGCAAGAGAAGGGGATGACAGAGGATGAGATGGTTGGATGGCATCACTGCCTCGATGGACATGAGTTTGAGTAAGCCTGGGAGTTGGTGACGGACAGGGAAGCCTGGCGTGCTGCAGTCCATGGGATTGCAAAGAGTTGGACACGACTGAGTGACTGAACTGAACTGATGACCATTTCTGTGTTTAAGCTTTCTCATCTCCACTCCAGAGCATGTGTAGGCAGTATGTGACTAAATTCAGTTTCACAGATGAGTCTTAACATCTATGTTAATATTCTAATGTCTTATATTTTTGCTAATATTTTTGCCAGTCTTCCCCATTAGTTGTTGTAGACTTGGAGCTAAAATGCAGACTCTAGAGTGTTTCATGTGCCAGTGACAGGAAAGAATCCATGTTGAAGGCGCATTAAGTGCCCTGCTCCAACCTCTATGGGCACAGAAGGAGGATTAAAACTCTGAATCAAGTGTGTTTTCAGCTGCTCCCAGGTCCCAAATGCCTAATTCCCAGACAAAGGAAATGAAGTTAGGCTGTGGTAGGATCATTGCTATTGCCCCTTAGTTTTTTACACACACACAAAGGGATGGCAATGGGATGGACTCAGCTACACACACACACACACAAAGGGATGGCAATGGCAATGGGATGGACTCAGCTACACACACACACACACACACACACACACAAAGGGATGGCAATGGGATGGACTCAGCTACACACACACACACACAAACACACACACAAGGGATGGCAATGGGATGCTCAGCTACACATACACACACACACACACACACACAAAGGGATGGCAATGGGATGGACTCAGCTACACACACACACACACACACAGGGATGGCAATGGGATGGACTCAGCTACGGGGCGTCTGAACCGGGTGCGGTACCCAGTCTTCAGGAACAGGCCCAACTCTAACCTCCACCGCGGATTCCTGCTCAACCTCTGCGTTTGCAGGATCAGGCAGTCATTACTCGCCCCGCCTCCGGCTCCCGCACCGAAGTGACGCCTGTTCCGCCGAAGTTGTGTCGCCTCCTTGCGGCGCCTGCGCACTGTCACATTACGGCGGAACTAATCCGGCGACCCGGAGCTTTGACGCATTTAGTGCCAGGAAGGGAAAAGGGGGACCACAGAACGCGTCACACCCGGAAGTAGGGAGCCGGAAGTGGGGTTGGACAGGTTATCCCCAGGGGTGGGGCAGCGGAGGCCCAGGAGGAGGGGGAAAAAAGAAGGTGGAGGATCCTGGCTGCTAATCTGAATCGATACCGATTCTCTTAGACCTCAGAGACACAGAAAAGACAGAAGGGTGCCCCATCCCCTTTCTTCCGCTTCTCTCCTCAGCCTTAGCCATGGCGGAGGCAGGGGCCGGGCTGAGTGAGACCGTCACTGAGACAACGGTTACCGTGACAACCGAGCCCGTGAGAAAGGCGGGGGGCGGTGCTGTTTAGGGGTCTGGGAGATACCGGGAGGGAAGGGATAGGGTTTTGGAGAGTTGTTGGATGGGCTGGGCCTGGGGATATGGGAGAAAGTGGGTTTGGGAGAATCGCAGGGTATTAGGGATTTTTTTGGTGTGTCAGAGTTGGTGCAGAAGGCTGGTCAAGTGACATGCAATAGAGTTAAGATGTAGGTGATGCTGCTTGGGATGGTGGTGTGTGTAAGTACTGAAAGACCGCGAACTTGGCGATTAATGAGCAAGGGATGTGCAGGGGGAAATGAAGACTTGTGTAAGAACGCATGGTTGGAAACTCATTGTAGGGAAATTTAACACGAAGCATGCTTATCAATAAATATTTCTTGAAGGGATTATTGCAAACGGAAGCAGAGGGAATGAGGGAACAAGAAAAGGGAGATGATGAGAATATTTTGAAAAATCAGACATGTAGAGAAAAACAGCATTTTTGCAAAAACATTTCTTTCAAAGGGAGAAGTTCCTGTCGGACTTAATAACCCTTGGATTAAGGGAGTTTAGAGTAATAGTTACTAGAGATGCCAGGATGCTGGAGAATAGGTGGAAAACAGGTTGGGAGGGCTGGGCTTGAGGATGAGAGATGTGAGAACAGAGTTATTTCTTTAATGGGAAAAAGAATAGGGGTTCTGGGAAAAGAAAGGGAGATCAAAGTTTAGGTGTTGGTGACTGAGAAAATAATTTCCATGTATTAATACCACCAAGGATGTTTTGGGGAGGAAGATGGAGGAACAGCAAGGATTATATTTTCCTTTGAAGATTTGCTGGGACTCTCCCTAGGTTAGGAATTGTATCTTCTCTGCATACTAGTTGTTACTAACAGAATTCCTCAAGGGACTCCTTGAGGTCAAAAACCTGTTCTGTTTTATCTTCTCCCAGCATCAGCTCCTCTGTTGCTGTGTTTGTGATCCTGATTGAACTGGGGAAGGGAAGAAAGGAGGCCCCAGGGAGGAAGCGGGAAGAGTTAGTAGGAGGGGACTAGCTAGGTATGTCTGTCCTTCTTAACCTTCCAGGAAAACCGGAGCCTAACCATCAAACTTCGGAAACGGAAGCCAGAGAAAAAGGTGGAATGGACGAGTGATACTGTGGACAATGAACACATGGGCCGCCGCTCATCAAAATGTGAGTAATTGTTGCCCACAGTGACGCTGGAGTCCTGGCTCCCCTCAGCATATCTTTTGCCTTCTGGCATTCACTAGCCTTCCGGAAGCCCCCAGATGCTCACAGTCCTGTGGCTGCCTTGGTGGTTTTCTGTTATCAGGGAGAGGAGGTTAAATTAGAGGGAAAGAGGTAGGGAAGGGCTTGAATTTCTATGTGCCAAGGCCTAAAGTCAAGAGGTATTTGAGGTGGGAGAAGAGGAGCTTTGGATTCCCAGCTGGAAAGGCAAGGTGGGTGGGTGACAGAGTCCGAGGGTGTAGGCCTGGGGAAGCTGGATCTGGAAGGTAGAAGGAGAAAATGGTGGGAAGTAGGAATTTTGACTGAGATCCGGTGGGAATGGAACTGACACTACGTCTGAACTCTTCCTCCTTTTTCACTGGGCTCCTGCATCCAAATCCAGGCTGCTGTATTTATGAGAAACCTCGGGCCTTTGGCGAGAGCTCCACGGAGAGTGATGACGAGGAAGAGGAGGGCTGTGG